GGTATTCTCTTGTTTATATTTTCTTCTGTTATTATTTTTGATTGTCTGGAATTATCTCCTGCTTAGCAGCTGCTAGTACACGCTTGTGGCCGCAGAGCGTGTGGCTTTACTGTCCCAGCTTGATGCCGACGCAAAGACCATCCAGAGTTTGCAAGATGAAGCTTCTGCTCAGTCTACGCGGATTTCGGCTCTCAATCAGCGGGTTAAAGCTCTGGAGGCCTTTCTTGGAAGGGAACATGATGGATTCGACAGTGGAGAAGTACGTTGCTACTTGGGGGAAGCTGCAGGATGAAATATATGGGCCGACTCTAAGTGCTCTCATGACAACTAAACTAGTTTTGTATTGGTTTGCTTTATGGTCTCCCGGTAGTGATGGACCCGGGCCTCGGGTCCGGTAGAGGTTGGCCCGGGACCGGCCCGGGCTATGGCCGTGTGAACGCCCCAACATATGTTTTGGCATCCCATATCCGTGTGAACGCCCCAAGTTACACTCTTTCTTGCACCACTTGCAAGTTGCTCACTACAGTCCGGTCTTCGGGTCCTTCCACTTATCAAAATTGTTTTGCATAAGGGAAGATGTACTTTCCATCTTTAAAATGGTATATGTATAAGTAGAAATGTAGGATAATAAGAGAAAATGAAGATGGAGAAGAGTTGGAGAAGAGGTATAGAAAAATGTTAGAAAATAGATGTATTTATAGATGTTTTTGAACCCCACTCCCCACACCACCACCCCCGGGACCCCCCTGCCCCCCACCCAAAGTCCCAACGGCTATATAGCCGTTAGGGAGGGTTTTTTTTTTAAAAAAAATTAAATCTTTTTTTTAAGTTATACATATTGTAAAATAAGTTAATTAATTTAATGAATTAAGTAAAGCTATTTGTACTTAGAAAAGTGGTTTGATTTATAATTTACAAATGTTACAAAATAGGTGTATAAGTATTTAAACAAATTACATATTGTAAATGTATTTTTAATTTAAAAACCGCCTTTAGATTTTAGAAAAATAATTTTAAGTCGTAAGTCTGTAACCAATTAATTAATTTGAGAAGTGCTACATATGGAATGAACGCATATTTTTTGAAATATGAAGTACAAGTTTACAAATTAATTTGAAGTACATTTACAAATTTACAATTTTGAAATATGAAGTACAAGTTTACAATTTTGAAATATGAAGTACAAGTACAAATTAATTTGACAAGTGCTACAAAATACATTTTATAATAAATTTTAAATACTAATCAATCGGAATCTCCGACATAGGTAGAGCCACCATCGGTTGTTGAAGTCATCCATAAAATCTTGGGAGGGGGTGATGCTCATTTCTTGAGTTCTACGTGCCGCCTTTAACCAATCGTGGTAGAATATAAGCGTCTCAAGAGACTCCGCGCTCAATCTCGATCTAGATGCCGTTAGGACGTTGCTGGCCGAACTAAATTCTTGTTCCACAGCAACTGTTGAAACCGGCATTGATAGTACTTGCTTAGCCATCCGTGCTAAAATCGGGAACGTTCTTTCTTTTGACTTCCACCAGTTTAGAACGTCAAAGTCATCATTTTCTTCAAAATCAACTTCATATGTTAAATACAAAGTAATCTCATTCAATGCGCTTTGTTCAGTGACGTGAGTTGTTTTAGTTTTTTTCATAAGATTGCCAAATGCAGATTTAAAAATCAATTTTCCTTTAGATGAAGATGTTCGTGTTGGGGGAGGGGGGTGTTGCTATATTGTGCACGAAACTCATTAAATTAAGCATAAAATAAAGCACTAACCTCGTTGTATTCCGTTTTCGGATCTATGGGGTTATCGTCATACATTGGAAATTCACCAAAAAAAGCAAGATAATAGAAGTTGAAACAATCTTCCAAATTAGTTAGTCTAAAATGAGGATCGAGAATAAATGCAATACTATAAATATGGGGAATATGCGCATAATATTTTAAAAACTTTTCCTTCATATAATCACAAAAATAACTCACGAAAACGGCATTCTCAAATTCTTTAAAAGCACCGGCGAGATTAACAGCTTCACGAATAAATTGGTTTGCGGTAGGTTTATAAACATGACTAAAAGTTTCAGTTGCATTAAAAAAATATCAAAACATTACAAATTTTTTCGCAAGTGTCGATCTCAGACGAGTTTATAATATAGTTATCATGTTGTTTTAAAAAAGCAGGAAAATGTTCTTTATATCTAAGAACAACTTTAAGTAATTTATAAGTACTATTCCAACGAATACTCAAATTTTTACGAAAAGCAACATATCTCACACTTCTTTCAGTCAAATAAGTTTATCATTTTATTCTAAGTTGACCATTACCTCAAATATGTCTAATCCCCCCCTTGACTACCTCCATAGCATCTCTTAACGCTTTTAGACCGTCTTGCACACATAAATTTATAACATGGCATGCACAGCGTTGATGAAAAAATCTACCCATCAAAACATTGGCACCACACAATTCACGCAATCTAGGTATAGTAGCAGTATATTAGTAGCTTTATCGAAACTAATAGCAAACTCCTTATCAATAAAATTATACTCAATTAAAATATGCTCAATCAAAATATAAATATGTTCAGCGGTGTGACGATCATTAAATTCACGAAAAGCAAGTACACGTTTATGCATATTCCAATCCTCATCAATATAATGTGCAGTGAGACCAAAATAATATAAATGATAAAAATCATCCTCCCATATGTCAGAACAAATAGTAACACGCCCATCAAAGTTTGCAAAAAAAATTTGTGACCTTGCCTTTTCCGCATTATAAAGCCTTATAATTTCTTTCTTAACAGTTTTGCGACTACAACTTCTAAATTGAGGATTTAAACTACCTTGTGCATAATCTCTTAAAGCAAGACTTTCAGAAAACATATAAGGCAAATTTTCTTCACAAATTAAGTTAGCCATACCAGTCAAATTTTGTGCATCATTGTAGGAGAAATTACCAAAAGGTTGAGAATGCGCAAACCTCGATATTTGAGTTTGCTTCCCCGTTCCGCCGCCTAATTTTGCATACTCCACGGGGTGCTTTGCCTTAAGATGCCTTGCGGCGGATCCGTATCCGCCGGAGGTCCCCAAGCTATAATTGTTGTTGCACCACTTGCAAGTTGCGTGCCAATAGCCGGTTTGTGGGTCCTTCCACTTATCAAAATTATTTTTCATTAGTTCAGATTTACTTTTTTTTTACCAGTGGCGGTTTTGGATGAGGCAGGCTCGTTGGCGTCGTGGCTGCCGGCACCCTCCTCCTCGGCCGTCTCCAGTTCCATTTCCTCCGCATCTTCATCCTCAAGCTCCTCTTCGTCAATGGTCGTCGGGATTTGTTGTTGTTGTAGAAAGCAGTTATTATGTCGGGCCAATTCTTGTTGTAGTTGTTCTTCGGACATCGCATCTCCATCTCTCCTTTGGTAACCCGTTTCAAAATCATCTCGACTTTGAGATGAAGAGCAGGCAAGTTCTTTACCTTTGCGGGATTTCTTCCTCCCAATCTCGTTCCTTCGATTGCGCTCCAGGTTACCCAAATCAACCGAATATCTACCACCTTCCATCTTAAAAATGTAACAAATATTAATTGGCAACAAATATAATAAGGAATACAAAAGTAATGCAACTAATTAAAACTATTTTAATTAATACTTCAAACTAATTTAGTGCAAACTAGAATTAATGTGTGACTTTAAAATTAAAATTATAGCAACTTTTCAAGTACTTTAATTTAGTAAAAACTACTTAAATAAAATGTTAAGTACTTTAATTAAATGATTGAACTACTATTTTTTCGTTCAAATATAAATTGAAACTATTATAATGTGACTTTAACTATAATGACAATTAGCTAGTTTTTTTAAGTAGAGTTGTTTTAGCAATTAATGGGAATACTAATTAACTAATTAACTAGTATAATGAAAAATGTAACAAGAATACTAATTAACTAATTAAGTAATTAACTAGTATAATGAAAAATGTAACAAGAATACTAATAAACTAATTAACTAGTATAATGAAAAATGTAACAAGAATTCCATTTGAAAATGTGCCATAATATGAAAATGCCATAATTTTTCTCCAAAAAGTGCCACAACTTTAATTCCATTTGATTTTTCTTTAATGGTGGCGGGTTATACCATAATTCTTCTCTCTTTACATTTTGATTTTTAATTCCATTAATTTTACCTTAAAGTGACATCATATTCTACGAAATTGCCATCTTTTTATTTGGTAATGTCATATTTTCATATTTGCAAATGTCATTTTTCAAATTTGTAAATGCCATTTTTTCTCATATCCCAATGCCATTATTATTTATTAAGATGGCAATTTTGCTAGAGAAGACCATCAAAGCAGCTTCACAGAGGATGAGAGGATGGTGGTAGAGATAATGGTAGACAATGGTGGGGGGTCTCTGTAGGGTGCGGCAGCGGCTCCTCAGATGCGGTGGAGTTTAGCTGGAGGCGGCGATGACAACCCCGGAGGCAGCGGCGGAGGCTGCCTGGAGGCGGCGGCGGCGGCTCCCTGTAGCTGTAGGTGGCGGCTCCCTGGATGTGGTGGTGGCAGCAACTCCGACTGGAGGTGGCCTGGCAAACGTCTTCTTGGACGTTGGGTGGGACTCCAGTTCTATTAGGGTTCCATTTTTTATTAAAATTGTACTCCCTAATACGAAGTATAATTCGGATAATTTGGTCCAATCACCACAGGTTTACTCCTATCAAACATTGAACTCCTATTTGTGAACTTATTCAATGTTTTACTCTTATTGAGGGAATTACCATGTGCTGTTTATAGTTGTTTATGTGTGCATATGTACGATTACCACCCTATACATATCAAGCGTAATTCAACGAGATTAGTAATATATTTCTTAATTCATTTAATGAATCTCATGCACCAATATGCTAACCTATACCCTCCACCGAAACTACTTGTTTCACTATCTAAAGAAGAGAGTCTTTTTTAATCAATCATTTCTAATCTTTTGAGAGAGAAACTAAATTTACTCCTACCATTTCAAAAGATGGATTAATGAGCTTTCTTTGCATCTAACGTTTTCATGTGAATATGAAGAAAAAAGAGTGACATTCTGAAATGGTGGAAGGATAAAAAAGGGATGTTTGCGACAGTATGTTCCCACAGCCAAAAACTCAAAACACTGCAGTTTTTATGCATACTAAACTTAGGACAACCCGTCATGGAACAGCAGCATTTTGGTGCTACGTGATCTCCAAAATTGGTCATGACACACCAAGAATTATGCTTGATCCATGGCTTCGATTTTAATGAATAGCACGAGAATAATGGTTATCATTGGGATTTCTCCTTCCACTGAAAACAGCAAGTGTTTTCCTCATAGGAGGCTGCAAGGGAGCCTTTTTGTCCGTATGGTGGACAAATATGTTGTCTTGAGTAGTAAATATATTATCTCCCTGCAATAAAATTGTTACAGCAATAAGAAAGTAATAAAGAACATTTAAAAACAGATGGCCAGATTTTGTGGAATAAGTAAATACCAACCAACTCCATCAGAAAGAGTATAGCTTCTAAATTTTGTAATTAACAATCATAAATCATTAACTTTACTTTAAATTGTCGTTAGTCAGTTTAACTAAAATATGTAACTTGTTTATAACTCTTTTTGGCAACATTTTGATTGATTACATAAAAAATGAGCTTTGCTTGAGCGAACTGCACGTTATTGGGTACAACAAGTGTTCAAAAATTATAGAGAAAATGGAAACTAATAATCCAACCTTTTAGCGGTCTTCTTACAATAGTCCCACCTTTTCGTTATTCATGAATAATCCAACCTTTGCACCTCATCTTCATTCACTGGTCTCTGATCGGTTGATGACCTCCTATTCCAAGTTATTTTATTATCTTTGCAAATCATTATACCATAAATCTCACCTTTTACAATGATAATATTTTGCAAAGATAAGAAAATAACTTGGAATAGCAGGTCATTAATCGATCAGGGACCAGCGAATGAAGATGGGGTGCAAAAGTTGGATTATTCTTGAATAACGAAAAGGTGGGACTATTATAAGAAGATCGCTAAAAGGTTGGATTATTAGTTTCCATTTTCCCTATTTAAACTCATCAATAACAGAAAAAACGTTTGGGAGATTCTGAAAATCAAAGTTCTCATGCATGCAAAAAAAGCCTTTTTTCCAAATGACCTGCTTGCTTTTCTTCTTTGTTTTGGGGTACAGAATCTTCTGTGGAAGCTGGTCCTCACGTAAAACGGGGTTCTTGGAAATGCCGTCTCTACCTCCTTGGGGCAGGGGTAGTGAAAACTGCACAAGGAATAAAACAACATGCAATTCATATTAAAGTACAAACAGGATGACTATCACTATCTTCTTTTTCTAAATAATCACACAGATAATGACCACAAACACGTCTAGGCATAAAGTATTTTTCAAATTCAATAATATGATATAGATGAATTTTATACTACAGAACTAATTAGATATACGGATTAGAGCATTATAGACAAGACATACAGATTAAGGTTCAAATATCACTTTACAGTAACAAGTTTTAGATAATGGAGGAAAGAGACAAATATGAACAGCTGCAGTTACTTTCCCAAATAAACTTCAACAAATTAGTAGAAAATGTAAGAAAAAGCTTAAGATTCTCACTTTTGTTCCACGCAAAGATACACGTGGTCTTCTTGCTGCAATAACTATACCATTTTCTCCCACTGTAACAGCCACTTTGCGTAGTGTGCCCCCATTTCCACAACTGGGGCAGAAGATCCTACCAATTTCTGTGGTCAACTTATAGCAAGCATGACATTTTAGTACCCACCTGAAAAATAAAAAGAGAATTTTTCACTCATTGTATGCTAGGTTAACAGAACCAGACCAGACCGGGCAAGTCGATCCGGAAACCGGCAACCTGGCATCCAACCCGGTCCAGTTGCTTATCAACCCATAAATCCAGCCAAACCTGCAAAAACCCAAAGTCTGCTCAGACCCGGACCCAGGGGGGTCCAAACCCGGGAAATCCAGTTAATTTCCGAAAATTAACAGACATTGTACAAAATTAGCGCCGAAGGGAATCGGTCCCTAGTCGACAGCATGCCATGACGAACAACTTTCCAATCTCCCAGTTGGTCATGTTGTGTATAAGTTTTCCCAAAGCATTATTGTACTGTTTAAACCATTACTATATATAACTAGTAAGTTAAATGTTATCGCGTATTATTAATGCATACATTATCAATATAATAATGCATATTTTTATACTTCCCTATTATGTAAGTTACATTTTATTTTAATTGTATATTATTAATTTTTATATGTTAATTACTATAAAAGTTTTATCAATGTTGACAGGGTTTCCCGGCATTGACCCACTGGGTACAGGCTGACCCATGACCCAGATCGGCCGGGTTGCTTCCAGGTCCGGTTTTAATAATATACTACCTCCGTCCCAGGGACAAGTTTCCACTTTCCTTTTTTGGCAGTCCCAACAAAAAGTTCCCATTTCCCTAAATGGAAAGTTATCCTACATCAAAACAGTGCCAAACAGTGTCGAAACAGTGCCAAACAGTGTCGAAACAATGTCAAACAGTAAAATTTACCCCTCAGTAACTTTATTTCCTTAATATGTGTGAAAGTCAACCCGGGAACTTCTCCCTGGGACGGAGGGAGTAGATTGTAAGCATTTCAGCAATAAAAAAATTATACTACTGCCTTCCAAATAAATGAATCATACTAACTTTTTACAAAAACATTAGCTTCACTAATTTTTTCATATGCAACTTGTGCAAACATGAAGAAATTCAATGATAACTTTGTTTGAGCATACTCAATGTTTAGAAAGGGCGCTATTAAGCCTTGTGGTGTTGTGCATTTGATAGGATAGTTGGAGGAGTAATATAAGTCATAAGTATGTGTGTCCTATAATACTTCATAAGTTTATGCTATGGGCAGCTTGTGTGCAAGATCTCATCACGCCCTATGAATGCATCAGTTTAACACTAACTAAAGTCTGAGATATATAGCTATACTTCAGAAAACGTCGTTAGATTGAGAAAACAGCTGAAAAGAAATAGCTATACCATAAATATACCTGTGTAACTCACGAATCTGCATCCCACCAGGTGCTATAAGCCGCAAACCCATCTGAAGTATCACATTTTGCATTGCAAAATCACTAGTTATACAAGCAACCATTGACTCGGATAAGGATCTGAGTGACCAACTCTGTTCACTGCTGCGATCATCAATGTGTGAAGCTTCAATGCTTTCACAGCTCTGACTAGCTATTTCTACAATCTCCACTCCCTTATCAAGGTCATCATCAGCATCTTCATCTGCTAAATCCACAACATCCTTCTTTAAGTTACTATTGCCCGCATCAGAACTCTTGGTTTCATCACACTCAAAAGACTTATCCTCGTTCAGTCTCATTTCATTTAAAATGGTAGAAATATCTTTTGTAACATCCTCTTTATTAATCTCAGTGGAGGATCCAGCAACAGCTTCACTTTCAGATGGTATGTGATGGTGATCTCTTCTAGCCTTTCGACGTAGATACTTCCTGTGAGTGCTGCGACTAACTGCAGGTAGCCAATCACTAGCATTATCATCATCAAATTGTCCCTGTGAAGCATCAATCCCATCGGCCACCATCTTCTTACCTTTAATCATTATCTCCTTCATTTCAGCCACGTATCTTGTAGGCTTCTTAGATTCAGACATATCATCATTTATGACTGTTGATGAACCATCGGAACTTTGTTGATCAGTGGGTGCAGTAGCATTAAGGGGAAAAAATTTTAAGGGAAGAATTCTGGAGGTAGCATTTGACTCAACTGCATTTTCAAGTGCTTCCCATTCTTCCTGATTGGAAACATTGGAACCCCACCCAGGCAGGTCCTTCTCGGGCAGTTTTCTCACCTTGACTGTGTGGATTGGAGGTGGGCAATCCCTAAGGTGTGTAGTTCCATGATTTTGAACCTCCAATGTGTATGTCAAAGCAAGAAGCTTCAGATCCACATCTGATAGTGTCTGCATGTCTCCAGTTGCCCTTGCAAAGCTAATAACTGTGAATAGACAATGTTAACGATGTGTTTGTTTTGAAGGCGGGAAGGGGAGAGAAGGGAGTGAGGAGATCTTTCATCTGATTTGGAAAGGACAAATTTAAGGGCAGGGTAGGGAAGAAAGAAGGCACTTTCGCCCCACCATTAATAATACTACAAATAACAAACGGGAGTGGTTTAATTCCCTCACCTCGAACCAAAGTACCAAACACACCCTAAGATACTTTTAACAATTTGTTATGAGTTGATAGGTTATAGGACTAACACACAAACAGTTATAACGCTAGTATTTAGTCTAGACACAGTAATAGCAAGTAGCAAGTAGCAACAACAAACTCAAAGGTTTTTATACAAAATTAAGTCCACCCTGATAGTTTCGAAACATACACATACACACTGACAGGCGCAAGACTTGTATTAATCCTTTATTCCAACCAATATTTTACGTATGGTTATTTTAAGAAGACATCAAAATAGTTATATATGAGGGTCAGCAACGCCTACTTTCATATTCGCAAGCTGAGTTATCTATCATTTTATACCTAAAAAAGTGTGTGACAGTTACATTCATGTTTCTATTCCACTTAAAGTCCTTCATTCTTTAAGAATTCATTAATAGGATGATGGCATATCAATTACTAGTATATCATTGAAGCAACTTCCGGATCATAAAAATCAAAATGTTCTCAACAAAAGCAGCTCTCTATATCAATAATGATGGATAGGATTCACAAACATGCATTTTACAATGTAGTACAGGTAATGGAATGAAAAGAGACAAATATGTGTGTGACTCATGGATGCAATTGTAAATAAAGACCTTTCTTCAGTGAATCAGGTGATGGTTCCATTGTGTCTACAGTGAAAGGAAGGAAGTTGAGAGAGTGACGAGAGGTAGGATCCCTAATTTCACACAAGACCTCCGGCACAGACACGAAGCGGTCGGCATAATGCGTTAGGTTTTGACCTCCCTGAATGATGGCGTTAGCATCCACAACCGCCACAGCTAGTCCCTTTGTGGAACTGCAATCACCCACCAACTCCCGATTAGGAGGCCGCTGCGCACACAGGCCGTTTTGCTGCGGCGGCGGCGGCTTTTGCTGTACGATGTTGCTCCAACATGGTGGCATGGTCTGAACTGTGTGATTTAGATGCTAAAACCCTAGTCACAGAACTAGGTACCTCGGGAATGGGGAATGACGGGCGGATGAAGGCGCCGGTAGGGTGACGATTACTCGGCAATTTTTATCCTCTTTTCAAATTCAAAGGGGTTTCTAATGCCTAGTAGAAACCAATAAATTTTACTTAATCTAACCCTAATAAGACTATTTTATCCTTTCATTAACAAAAATTAAAAGTGATGCAAGAGAAAGCGAGAGTTCACACGCCACACTCTTATTCCCGCGCCTATATACATCCCAATGGACCATTCTTGGCGTACACAAGTTGCACACAAAATGTGTACATTGTCTGTGTACACAGACAATTTAACATCAAGTACTGCCCCTTTTTGAACGAATTGCCTGTGTACACAGGCAACTAGGGGGGTTTTGTGTACAACTTGTGTACAACTCATGTACACTAAGCATTTTCCACATCCCAATACTACCTCCTTCCCATTTATATTGGGACGGAAGAGGGTGACACAGTTATTAAGAAAATTGAGTTTGTGTGTTTGATAATAATTGATAAAGTAAGAATAAAGTAAGAATGATTTAGAGCCACACAAATTTGTCAAATATGGTATGAGACAATTTAAGTGGGATTTTCCGAAAAGGTAAAACGGGATAATATAAATGGGACGGAGGGAGTATGACGTTTGAGCTAAGGGAAAGTTCCCGAAATGAGACTAAAAAAGCTTGAAAATTCCAAAATAGGACTGTCATGTTTTTATTTCCAAAATAGGATTAATTACTGTCAGATTTGGAAAATACTGCCATGTTTGAAGTCTGGTACTGCCAAAACATGACAGTAATTAGTCCTATTTTGGGAATAAAAACATGGAAGTCCTATTTTGGAATTTCCAAACTTTTTTAGTCCCATTTTGGGTAATATATCTTGAGCTAATTAATAAGTTCAGATGCCTCCTTTGTTTTTTGTTTGTTTGTTTGTTTGTTTGTTTGTTTGTTCTCCTCTTTTTGTTTTTTAGGCAACCTTCTACCTTAATGTTATACATACGTAGTATTCAATTATTATGAAAAATATATAAGATAAAATATTATGAAATGTTTCAGTTTTTTTTTCTTTCTCCAATCAAACTTCCTGCTTAAGTTTTTTTATTTATCTATTATAAAATATTTTTGTTATTGATGATTTATTTATCTACATTTAATTTGAGATGAATATTTATTAGTTTATTGAATATTGTATGTTAATTACAAACGTGAGTTTGTGTTATACTAAAAAGAACTCGAGGATTGTATTTGTAATTCGAAAACAAACGATTATAAATTATTTTTAATATAAATTATTATATATGTCATTATGTGTGCACAAATTAACATTTGAACACATTAGGGAATTCAAACGAGCTTTTGAATTTTTCGACGCTCATTCTGTAAGTTACTTATGTTCATCTGGTACTGATTTTATGTTCATTTTAAAATGTCATATTAATTCATATTTCAAAAGTATCATATTAGATTCACATAAGAGTTAAATTATATACATGGGAGTAGAGATAATGATACTCAATTGTTTCTGATACTCAATAGAGGGGGTTTGATGTTCAATGAGAATGTCTTGATGCTCACCTAACAAAGCTTATGATTTTCATATTTTTGCTCATTTCGTAAGTAAACTCAAACATTCACCAAAAATATTTTATGTGAACTTCTCCAAAATATTATATGCCCATTAAAATATTTTATCATTGCTCATTCACCAGAAACCATGATATGCAAATTTAATGTACTATGACACTTTTTAAATATGCATTGATATGACATTTTACATATGAGCATAAACTCAGTACCAAATGAGCATATGTAACTTACACGATGTGTATTAATATGAAAAATGTAAAGTTTGTTAGTTGAACATTACGACATTTTCATTGAGCATCAAGCATCCTCTATTGAGATGAAATTCATGGTTTCTATTAAATGAGCATTAATGATTTTTTACTGAACATCAGACCAATTCTGTTGAGTATTAGGAGTCTGGTATTGAGCATCGAGATCTCTGCTTCATATCTTATATTCACTTTCTTTTTCTTATTTTTTCCTTTATAAAAAATTATGAAATTATATCTATAATCAACTCCTATGAAACTTCAATATGTGAATCTAATGTAATATGGTACTTTTGAAGTATGCATTGATATGAAATTTTCAAAATGAGCATATATGAGTATAAATTGAGTATATGTAACTTACAAAATGAGCATTAATATGAAAATCCTAATACGATACTTTTGAAATATGCATTGTTATGACATTTTAAAAATGAGCATAGATGAGTATAAATTGAGTATGTGTTACTTACAAAATGAGCATTAATATGAAAATCATAAGTTTTTTCAATTGAGCATCACGACATTTTCCTTGAACATCAAATATCTTCTATTGAAATATTAGAAAAGTGCAATTGAGTATCAAGGTATGTGCTCGATCTAGTATGAATAATAAAGTCCAACATAAATCTTATGTAATATGATATTTTTGTAGTATGCATTGATATAACATTTTAAAATGAGCATAAATTCAACTCCAAATGAGCATACAAAACTTACCAAATGGGCAATCATGTGAAAATCATACGCTTTATTAGTTGATCATAAATACATTTTCATTGAACATAAAACTTCTTCTATTGAGTATCAAAACCATGCAATTTAGTATCATGATCTATACCCCCATGTGAATCCAATATGAAACATTTGAAATATGTATTAATATGACATTTTAAAATGAGCATAAAACCAATAACAAATGAACGAACGTAACTTACAAAGTGATCATCAAAAAATTCAAAATCTCGTTTGAATTCTCTAATGTGCTTAAATGTTCATTTGTGCACATGTATCATAATGACAAAAATAATAATGGCAAATATAATATTTTTATATTAAAAACAATTTATAGTAGTCTTTCATTTTGGAATTACAAATATAATCGGTTAAGAAATACTCTTCTTAAATTAAAAATAGAAAAATAAAAAATTAGTACTTTAAATATTCATCAGAAATTGAAAATTTGAAATGAATGAATAAGATGGTTAAGAGAAAAGCAAAAAGAAATAAAAACGGATTTATGTAAAATAAAAAGAAAAGCAGGGAAGTTGACCGGCATCCACTTACGCAAGAAAAGCAATCCACATAACAAAGCAAAGCATTTACTCTCCACTTATGCAATCTAGTTGGTCGGCTGCCGCTTACGCAGGAAGGTTTACCGGCATTTAAGCTCCAACACGTATTCCACTTACGCAGGGATCGGAAGAACACAGACGGTAGAATTAAAACAAAAAATTACAAAAATACCGGGTGTACATATACACCCGGGTGTACGGTATAATTTGCCCATATATTCAATCAATCAATTGCAAAATTGATTTCAGAGTTTGCACCAGTTTGCATGTGACAAATAATTCCAGAGTATTATTTTTATAAAATGTACGGAGTAATAACCTTTTTCATTTTATGTTATGATTTTTTTTTAAATATATCAAATCAAATAATTTTTTATGACCTTTCATATCAAATCAATATTACATATATAAAAAACAAAAACAAAATATTATGGTAAGATTGTTTAATTCCGTTATGATGAACGACTAGTAAATGTGCATTTTACTAAAGTACTTTCTCCATTCTTTAAAATTTTCTTATACAGAATATTACTTTTTTGGTTTCTCGTAAACAATTTGCTACTTTTCCTATTAGTCAATTAATTTGTGACACTGTAAATATAATGTCAATAAGGATGCTTTTAATTGAAACGATTTTTTTTTGTTTGGTAGACTGGTGTGATAAAGGACTGATCTATGTGTGTTATACAACTATTGAAGTATATCTATTTTGATTTGATATGTTAAAGTATGTTATGGGACTGAAACTAGCCTAATTAAAAACATCTCAAATAGTTTCGATCATAGTTATATGTAATAGAATAAAAACAATATTTAATATAAAAATGAATGAAAACATATATATGACCACCTAAATATTACTGAACATTGTATGCAACAAATTCAAACAGAAAAACAAAGATAAACATATTGGGGTAAATGAAGTGATTACTACTCTGTATGAAGTAAGATAAATAAATACCTCATATATTTGTTTTCTATCTATTTCATTAAGTTTGTTGCATACAATTTCATAAATATTTAGGTGGTCATACAATTACTACTCTGTATTGAATATTGTCTTTATTCTATTACATATAATCATGACTAATACTAAGTACTATTTAGGATGTTTTTGATTGGATTGATTTCAATTCCAAACTAGATTTAAACATGTAACAACCTCAGTTTCACAAAAGTAAACATATAAAAATTTTTATCAAAACGTAAGCAGATAAAGTTAATATAATTTTATATAAAAAGTAAACAAATAAAATTTTATATAATAACAATATTAAAAGATATACAATACGAGTAATAACTAATATTAATATAAGATGATTGATAAAAAAAATTCACCTAATTGGTATTGCCGATTAACAACTAGGGAGTTATGGCCATTGGATTGCTCTTGCCGACCCCATAGGTCCAATAGAATTGAAAAAGTTGTGATACAAGTTTTGTGGACACGTGATGGGTTTCTATATTAAAAAGGGAGAGCACTTAGCTACACCTGTATGCAATGCATTATGCATGCTAAATATTACTGAGACTAGGACACTTGGCCACTATACTCAAGAAAGAAAACAAAACTACATGCATGCTATTGGAGCTCAAAGCAAGTCAACACAGAAGATGGCACATGCACAAGTCAACATACAGCTAATAGAAATGATTAGAACTAACTAGACTTTTTACAATTAGTTAGTTTGTTATAGAGTCGGTTGTATTTTTTCCATATAAGTCAACTAATCAGCTCTTTCTTCTGTACGAACTTGGCATATCTTTCATTCTATTGAATAATGAAGTTCAGCTTTTCTTCTTCTTCTTGATTCATCAGATTTTCTGCTGCATTAATTCTGATATCTTAGCCTGGATTTCTACATGGTATCAGAGCATATGCTCTAACGATCCGCTGCAAACAACGAAGAAAGAGTTCATCAATCATGCCTCAGACTGATTCAGGAAGGCGCTCATCTGTTGAAGATATATCCAGTCCATACTATATAGGATCTGGTGATAATCCTAACTCCAATCTCGTTAATCCACAGCTCAATGGAAACAATTATCATTCGTGGAGCAAG